TGAAGTTGTTTGAGTGACATTCCACAACTTTACTCCAAAAGAATCTGATCTGAAACTTTATAATTAATAAGATAAGATAACCTTTATTGAGAGAGATAAGGATAAGTGAAGTTTAGCTGTAAGTGCTGCGGTTGGTAATAGCGACCAAATCATAACTAAACGGGTTAATTTACTTCTACTCGATCATTTGTTGATCCCCATCTCATGCCAGGTGGTTTCCAGCAGGTTCCTTGGCTCGCACACATGGCGGCCTCTGTCACCCCAAAGAGAGAGAGCAGAGAGGATGAACTCTGCCAGGTCTTTACTCTGTCAACACCTGCACGTCTCAGATTCCTCTATTTGCACCATACAAGGATACAAAGCACAGGGATGCGAAAACAGCTCAACTCCAGGAGGAAATCTAACATGTCCATGGTATATTCATTAAAGAGAAAGCCTGACGGAGCTCGCAGTAAAGCTCACGCAGTGTTATTCTTGTCTAATTTACATCAATTTTGTTTAGCCGGAAGTAAAACTTCCAATTTTGTTTTTCAAATCTCACTTGCACTGAGAGATGGGACAGACGTTTGCTGTCCACACAGTAGCAGGTTTTTCCCTTAGGCCTTAGATTTATGGAGTTTTTACTCACTAAAACTTTACCTAGGAAGTGAAAAAAAGTAGCCAGGGGCTGGAGGGGTTAACATAAACAGGAAAAACAGATTTAAAAGAGAACATGACACAAGTGCTAACAGCTACACAAAAACATGCAAACAGACAGTCATTCACTCTCTCAGGTGAGATGGAAGCGTGTCGTGCTCTCATCCTTATGGATGTGATCTCCAGCCATCTAGATGAGAGTGAAGAGAGAGAAGTCAAACGCTCTTGTGCCAAACACCTTGAGGAATGCAGAAAATGGGCAGAGAAGAGGCTCCTTCAGACCGGCAGCCATCAGCGATTAACACCCTCTCAGACAACAAGTAATTTATGTGTCAAGATGTTAAATATTTCAAGTGGCACGGTGGAATGTGTTCAGACTGACGGAGGAAGCAGCTCCCACTCCTGACGGGAGTTTCAAAGAGCGCAAAGTCACGCACACAAAATGAAGACGTGGCCTCCAAACTTAAACTGTTTGCCATTATCGAGCACGCTGTCTGCTCTCCTTTAACACCAAGTCAGAGTGCACAGAGCTCAGGCTCTGCACCTTTTGCCACTTGTTTTCTACATCCATCTTCATCCTACTGACACAGGCTTATAGATCACACACGCTTTTACATGGACGCAAAGCAATTTCTTGCAAAGTTGAAACACAAGCTAAGCTGTGCTTCATAGAAACGGTAACACAAACACTTGTATTTTCCCATTTTGGACATTGTACACCACAATTATTTCTTCCTTAGTAACAGTAAACTAGAAATCTACATGACTTGGCCACAAGTGCCAAACCCCTCTGACATCATGACTCTGACCTTTGCATGAAAGTAATTTTAGAGTTCCAGTTTCTAGGGTGTCAGTGACTTCTGACTGTGTAAGTATGAAATGTTATGAGCTACACTTTCACATGTGGACGGCCTCTTTGTACAGTAGCCAGGTATGCTAAACACACTTGGCAATGGAAGCTGCTGGCATTATGAATCAATGTCGATGTTTATCTACAAGTTCACTGGCAGACGTGGTTTTTTTTAAACTGTGGTTTTGTTTAAATGATTAACTGTAGCTACACGGCCCCGCGCTGCAGTCTGGATGTAGCGCTTCGTACTCTTATTGCCATGTCTCTATCCTCCCATGTCTCCGTCACCTCAAGGGAGGCATCCAACTCTTCCATATCTGGTTTCCTCATCATATGTAGACTTTGCAGGGAGCCTCATTCATGTCCAGGTTCCCCTAAAGTGCAACTGCAGCAGACATTCTCTCTTGTACCAGTGAGCTCACAGCAGAGACATTATCCTGCACACAGAATGGAAAATGGAGCAACAATGATATAACTTTGAATGTGAGCCTCAGAAAGCATTAACACGGATTCATTTTTTTTGGAGTAAACATGGAAACAAAGTTATATTGGGCTAATCTCTATTTTTATAAAAAGCATTAAAACTGAGGGGAGCTTTGCAAAACACTGGTTCTGTGGAAGGGTCCCACCCCCTTCACAGTGTCTGAAGCAGAGCTCTCTCTCTCACACACTCTCACACTGCTTTACATGGATGAGGTGGCATCACTCACTAGAAGTCTGCTGTTTCCTCGCAGTAGTTATTCACCTTTCATTGCCCTCATGCCACGCCTGGAGTGTGCCGGTGGAAGATTTAAGTGACAGGAGGTCTCTGCTACTCCTATTGCTGCTACTGTGGATTTTTGCACGGGCAGAACAGGGTTCATGTCCTACTTGTAGAGCATCAATAGTGGGTAAGTTTTAAATCTAGCAAGTTTCTGAGGTCTTGTGACCACATACATTTTGAATGGAGCTCATTTTGTCTCTTTACGAGTTGTTTAAAATGCACAGTCATCCTTGTTGTGCTGATGCTTCTTGTAATTTGGTTTAATTTGCAATGCAAAAAGGTTCAGGTTGAATATTGTATTACAATATCCCCGGGAGTGTACAGGCAGGAACTGCATCTGCATGCATTCTGCTTTGTATAGATTTTCTTCGAGCTGGAAATGAGAATGGACATGAGCAGCATAGAAAGGAGCTAAGAGAAAAGATGACTGCTTGGTGAGGGGGTGTTGGTGAAACTCAGTAGCAGTTTGTTCTCTTGTACTATTGCTTTGGCAGGATTGAAAATAGTAGGAATGTTGGAGTGTTTCATTCTGACAGGTTTTCCTCTGGATGCTTGTTTGGGACACTGTAGCATGAATTATGTGTTCTACCAGGACTGTGACTGATAATTGTTTTATCCGTGTTCTTTCTAGATAGCTTCAAGTGCTGGGCTTGTTTATACCAGTGTTTGATTTAGAGTGTGGAGTCAGTGCATAAAGTTTTCAAATTCAAATTCAAATTCAAATTTTATTTGTCACATACACAGTCATACACAGTAGGATATGCAGTGAAATGCTTAGACAACTGCTCGTGACCTAAAGAAAAAAAGACTATGAATAGGATAGGAAATAAATCTGAAAATTAAAATGAAGGGTAAATTTAGCTTGGAAGGAATAAAATAAAATATTGATATTAAAGTTAAAAATAAAATAATTGTACAACAAATTACACAATATAGAAATATATAAGAATATATGAAGAAATATAGAACAATACCAGCAGCTATAAAAGTACTAAATGGTATCAAGAAATATAATGTCCAGGGCTGTGCAATCCACATGTAAGTGTCTTGTGCAGTGCAAATATGCTTAAAGTGATTTATTTAAGTGACTTGTGATAGAGTGATTAGATTAGATGACCACGCAGTGTAGTTGTGCAGTGGCCACTGGTGTAAACAAATGTCCAGAATGTCCAGTGTGTGTGTAAGAACTATATGTGTGGGTCAGTACTGTGTGGTGGTGTGATTGAGAGACCGTATCGCCTGCAGGAAGAAGCTCCTCCTCAATCTCTCTGTGTTGGTCTTCAGGGAGCAGAATCGCTTTCCTGACCTCAACAGAGAGAACAGTCTGTTGTTGGGATGGCTGAGGTCCTTCACGATCTTCCTGGCCTTGGTCCAGCGCCGCCTGCTGTAGATTGAGTGCAGGTCAGGGAGCTCGGAGCAGATGGTGCGCTCAGCTGACCGCACAACCCTCTGTAGAGCTCGTCTGTCCTGCATGGTGCTGCTCCCGAACCAGGTGAAGATGTTTCCCGTCAGGATGCTCTCTATGGTGCGCGAGTAAAAGTTCCTGAGCACCTTGGAGGGCAGTCGGAAGTCTCTCAAGCGTTTGAGGTGGTAGAGATGCTGTCGGGCCTTTTTCACCACGGTGCTGATGTGACAGGACCATGACAGGTCCTGCGTGATGTGAACTCCGAGGTATTTGAAGTTGTCCACTCTCTCCACTGGGCACTTGTTGATGATGCAGCCTTGAAGCGAGCATAGAAAGTGTTCAGCTTGTCTGCCAGTCCGCGTTCGTCATACCGGTTGTTGATGCTTTATAATCCGTTATTGTCCTTAATCCCTGCCACAGGCTCCTAGAGTCACTCTGTTGGAGTTGTGACTCTAGTTTCCTCCCGTACATGCAAATCTCAAGTTTAAAGTCAGTGACCTTCCAGAATAATGCCCTTTCTTTTTTTGTTCCTTTCAGACTGAAGAAGTTGCTTGAGAACGAGAAAGCCTACCAGCTCAGGAAGGAGAACGAACACGCCAAACGTCTGACCAAGGTGCGAGAGGAGCTGGTCAAGCTGAAGTCTTTCACCCTGATGTTGGTCAATGAGCGGCAGCAGCACCTGGAACAAATAGACCAGCAGAGCCAGCGGGTCCAGGAGCTCAGCCAGCAGCTGCAGCAGCGTGAGCAGGCTCTAAGTGAAGCCAGGCAGCGTGCTCAGGAAGATGGACACAGGGTGCTGAGCCTCGAGGCCGAGCTTAAAGAGAAAGCCGACAAGCTCAAGCAACAACACGAAGAGATGAGTGCCAAGCTAGCCGGTCAGGAGCTTCTCAACCGTCAACTAAATACAAAACTTTCAGGCCTCACAAATGAGGTTGCGGAGCTACAGGAAAGCAACAGAGCACTGAGGAGATCTGAGGAGGAACTGCATGAGCTAAGGGAGAAGATCAGCAGGGGGGAGTGTGACAACTCAAACCTGATTGCTGAATTAGAGAACTTGAGAAAACGAGTGCTGGAGATGGAAGGAAAGGATGAGGAGATTACTAAAACAGAAAACCAGTGTAAGGAGCTACGGAAGAGGCTACAAGAGGAGGACAATAAGAGTAAAGACCTCAGACTGGAAGTGGAGAAGCTCCAAAAAAGAATCATGGCATTGGAAAAACTCGAGGGAGCATTTAGCGTTAGCAAAGCCGAGTGTGCACAGTTACACGGTGCTCTAGAAAAAGAGAAGGGCCTGACCAAAGAGCTTTCAGACGAAGTTGTGGCTCTCAAGATTCGTATGAAAGAGCTCGAGTCATCTGAGATAAAGCTGGAAAAGTCTGAGCTGAGCCTTAAGGATGACCTCAGTAAGCTTAAATCACTGACCGTCGCATTGATGGAAGAACGAAAGACCCTGATGGAAACAGTGAAGTCATGTGAGGAGAAAAAGGACGATTTAAGCAACCTGGTCAAAGCTGAGCAGAATAAAGTTATGGAAGTGACAGAGAAGCTGATAGAAGAAAGCAAAAAGCTCCTAAAATTGAAATCAGAGATGGAAACCAAAATAGAGACTTTAACGAATGAAAAGGGCGAGCTTAACACTAAGCTAGCTTATGAAATTGATAAAACTAAGGACCTTAGCTCTAAAGTCAACCAAATGAAAAAGAAGTTAGATGGATTTGAGCAAGCAGAAAAACTTTCTGGAAAGAATTCAGTGAAATGTGACATGCAGAGAACATCTGAGCCCATCATCAGAGACGACAACAAAGTTAAGGAGCTGACGTTTGAAATTGAGCGCCTGAAAAACCGTCTCAAACAGCTCGAAGTGGTAGAGGGAGATCTTCTCAAGACAGAGGATCAGTACGACATGTTGGAGAAAAAGTTCATGAGTGAACAGGACAAAGCCAACATTCTGTCCCAGCAGGTGGAGGAAATGCGGACTCAGATAGCACGGAATAAAGCGATCGAGAAAGGAGAGGAGGAAAGCCAGGAGGAAGATCTGCGTCAACGTTGCAAGAGAGAGGAGGCCAGAACCAGGGAACTGCAAGGCGACGTGGTAGCGCTCAAGGAGAAGATCCACGAACTCATGCACAAAGAAGACCAGCTTTCTCAGCTCCAAGTGGACTTCTCCGTCCTGCAGCAGAGGTTCTTGGAAGAAGAAGAGAAAGCCAAGAACATGAGCACTGAAGTTTTCCATCTCACCAAAGAACTGGAGATGGCTAAGCGTCAAAGTCGAGCGCTGCGACCCAGCTTGAATGGGAGAAGAATAGTGGACGTGGCGGTGACCTCCACTGGCGTGCAGACAGAAGCGTCGTCCTCCGAGCCAGCAGAGGAGGATACCCCGGCTGGCTTTATAAGAAAGTCTGTTCAAGAAGAGAACCACATTATGAACAACTTAAGACAGAAGTGCCTGAAGAAGCCAGCAGAGAAAGGCAGTGCTGTTGAGCGTTCACCTTCATCTGGCAGTGATTTAGGTATCAAGAGATCTTGGATTCCCTGGATGAGAAAAAAGGACAACAGCCCTCAAGAGACCCACCTGGAGAAGCCACTGCACAATGGAGAGAGCTTCTCCTCTGAGCTGACCATGCCCCAGAAGCCAGGTCAGCCTTTCCACATCCGAGTGACACCAGATCACCAAAACAACATGGCAACTCTTGAAATCAGAAGCCCGACTGCTGGGGACGTTTTCTCTAGTTCCGCTCCCCTCAGCCCCAATCCATCTCAACCCAAATCCAGAATCACCATCATTCCCACCGGCACTGCTCCGACCCAGCGGAGAAAGTCCCCCACTGTGTCTCAGGGCCCCGAAAGGGCCAAGTCTCCAGTCACTATCACAGCTATATCTAGAGCCAAGTCTCCAGAAACCAGCCGAACCTCCTCCACTAACTCAGGAAGACCCTTGTCCCCTGTCTCCATCATGACAGTGAGCACAGCTGTAGCGTGCGAAACATCTGCCTCCCCAGAACCTCAGGAGATGACCATGGGCCGAGCCGTGTTCAAGGTTACCCCCGAGAAGCAGATGGTCCCATCGCCTGTACGAAAGGGTCACGGCAACACGAGTATCATCACCACGACTGACGATAGCAAGATCCACATTCATCTAGGCAACAACATCGCCCCAAAGATGGTCGTCAGGCCGGTGGCTGCTGTCACAGAGAGCAAGGAAATGACCTTATCGACTGGGACAGTTTTGCGCTCGCCTCGTCAAATCACCACCACTACTACCAGGAGCACGCAGAGCAAAGTGATGAGCAGCATTACAATTTCTCCTGTTACGTCCTCCTCTTCCAGAACGACACAAGGCATGGTAAGTTTTCCTTCATCCAGCTTTGGATAATTCCTGTTTTCTTTAAGTTGGATCATCTCTTTTCCTTACCTTCTTCATTTTCTTTTACATTTTTGGATCAAAGAGTTGATAGGAACACTCAAGCTGATAGCGGTTTCCTAAGTTCACCATGAGCTTATTTTCACATCTCTGGAGATGAGAGATAATGCAGCACTGTGTGTGGTGTTTCCCGGGACCCCTTTTACTCTGCTCTTTGTGGATCCGATGGGTAGTGTGACAGAAACGGGGCCATGTGCAGGTCTGAGAGCAGCAGAGATAATGAGGTGGAATTTTGCCACCCTGCTTTAATCAGGCTGTAATTTATAGTTGTTACACTGTGTTTACTGTTTACATTCACAAACAGCCGTGGCTCGGGGCCCTCCGCGCTCTGGCTGACACAAAACAGCTTGGCACCGTCAGCAGCGTACTGAAACCTGGCCTGGACAAGCACTCGCTCGCTCAGTGAAAAATAAATGTTTATATTTCTCATTTGTGCTGCTCTTTTAACACATAAGATCAGTTACATTGCACTAATTTACAATTCCTGTTTCCTGCATGATTTTTACCATGAATCCATAACTTAGTGTCGGTGTGGCTCAACTGTTTTCATTCTCCTGCCTGAGAAACTGTACTCTCTCTCTATTGTCAAACAGACCGGGCAGGATGCCCAGCCACCGCGCTCAGGGCTGACCCGCATCCCAATGTCCAAGAGCCTGAAAACGGGAAAGGCTGCGCTGGGATCCCTGGGGGTCTCCGGTGGAGTGAAACTGGAGTCGCGGGCTGAGAGTCAGTCTATGAGGATAGAAGTTAAGAAATCCAGCGTGAATAGCAGTACTTTACAGAATGGAGGAAAAGCCTGAGAGACACAGTACCAAACGTATCTACATGGTGCTTCAGAGAGATTCATAGTAAAAGCTGTGGTGTTTGAGTACAACTCAACTATAGTTTACAAGGCATTTCTTTATTATTATTATTAAGCAGGAGACTGATTTTATACTTTTTATAAGGTATTTTCTACTTCTTTACTTCTTATTTGCATTTCTGCCATTTAGACTGAAACATCCATGATTTGTTTTGTTGTTTTTTACAGTGTGTTGTGATGGGCATTTGGGTAAGACTCTGCTGCTATCAATGGCTTCTTTCTTGGGGTGGATATTTAATCTATAATGAGTTTATTTGTTTTATATTAGACACAAAAAGTACACAATTATGTGAAAATTTGGTGCATTTCTAAAGGATTTGTATTGAAAATATTGTAAATAAAAGTGATATTAGAGCAAAGTGTGGTGTGATCATTTATGCAGACACTTATGTTAACTCATCTGTGTACCTGCAGTTGTGACAACCAGTGCTTCTTGCCCGGGCCTGCATCCAAGGATTGAGGGAAATGAAAAAATTCATTTCCTGTGCTTTACGTAAATATTTTTGGAATAACAAATATTCTGGTTGATTCCTGTAATATAAACAAAAATCTTTAAAAAGCAATGTGCACGAGGCCAGACAAAGAAAACAATGAGACAGTGACGGTGCAAGAAGCAGAGGTCGTGAAGGTAGATATGCTTAAACACCTGGGGTCAAGCATCCAAAGAGAGGTGAAGGAGAAACCCGGAACAACATTTATTATGATGATGTGGGAACAACACCAACACGATGATATCAGATCATCCGGAAAGCACTGCCAGGGGTGATTTGTGACAAAAGGATAGCAGCAAGAGGGAAAGGGAAAGTTTACAAGATGGCAGTGAGACCTGCTGTGATGCATGGTTTGGAGATGGTGACACTGAAGATTTTGAAGGTTTTCATTGGGAGTGACCAGGAAGTGAGGTTAGAGAGGTGAGGTTGAGATAGCTTGGACAGAGGAGACACTGGACAAAGGATGGTAAATATGGAGCTATCAGGTATGAAGAAAGGAAGAAGACAACAAAGAAGCTTCAAGGATGTAGTGAAGGAGGACGTGCAGAGGTTTGGTGTAACAGAGGAGGATTCTAGGGACAGAGTGAAAGGGTGGCAGATGAATCACTGTGAAAACCCCCAAAGAGAAGGAAGAAAGGCAGGTGGAGGAATGAGCTGGAATATCTTCAGGGTTGAGCACTAAAGAAGTGGAAGGATCAAGAGGAACTGATGAAAGAACATATTTTAAAACTACTGTGTGTAATAT